CGATACCTTTGAGCTTTGTGTGGGCGCTCGTCGCCAGTGTGATTGCCATCTGTTTTCATGCATGTTGAGTAAGAAGAAGACGAGTCTGGTTGCAGTTGTATCGGAGCTGGTTCCCACTGTTCCACCCGCCATTGTCGTCGTCACGAAGAAGAAGACGCCGGGTACCTGCACAGACAACGACGACGAAGAAGGGGGGAGAGAGAGAGAGAGAGAGAGAGAGAGAGAGAGAGAGAGAGAGAGAGAGAGAGAGAGAGAGAGAGAGAGAGGAGTGATAGAAGATTGGTTGTGCGGTTGGCCATAGCCGCCTAGCTCGGACACGGAGAGGAAGACGAAGGAGGAGACTAGAAGTGAGCAAGAAAGAAAGTGAAGGAGGGAAAAGAAGCCATAGCCGGGGGTGAAGGAAGAAGAGACGAAGGAGGGAAAAGAAGCCATAGCCAGGGGTGAAGGTGAAGAGACGAAGGAGGAGAGAGAAGCCATAGCCAAGGGTGAAGGTGAAGAGAGAAGGAGGAAGGTGAAGGTTGGTGAAGGAGAAGGGTTCGGCAGCCATAGCCAAGCTTACTGAAGTTGACCAAGACGTTGACCGAGGTGTTGACTGGTGTCGACCAAGGCATTGACCGGCGTAGACCGGAGCTGTTGACCACAAAGTTTGACCAACCTGGAGTTGATATAATATCGCCAAGCCTTCAGCCTATCCCCTCGCCCTATGGATGTGCACTCACCCCATGGTACTTGATGAGTTTCTCCGTCTCTTCTTTCTGCATTGAGTCTCTTTTGTCCAGGTGATAGGAACTCTGTGTATGTGGTCATAGAGCTATGTTGACCAAACCCACACGGGCTGAGTAGGGTTGTTGTCCATGTCTGACGACTGACACGTCCCGGAGGACTAACCCTCCCAAGGACCGGTACAGACCGGCGGGCTGCTCAGTGTGGCATGGTTGGCCCAAAATCCGAGCTGTGGGCTGCACAACCAGTTGTCTAAGTCTTGAGAGGACTTGCTGATTGCGCCGTCCTGTTTGCGACGTTAAACATTTCCTGAGGAGTTATGGGGGATCTCCTTAAATGCCTCCTGGTCAGCAGTGAAGTCCTGTAGTAACAGCCATAGCTATAGGTCTAGGCTAGAGACCCTAGTTGACAGGGTTCTGAACCAGAGTGAAAGCCAGGTGGGTTGACCGCAGGTGCTGGGCATCTGGGTTGAGGATTGTAAAATACAGTGGTTGCGAAAGCTTCCGTCGGTTGTGGTAACCTGGTTGGAACAAAGGGGGGGACTCTGTGGTCCTTATAGAGTTAGTCAGTTGGGCAGTCAGTTAGTGGGTGGAAGTCTAAGTGGTGAGGAGAGGAACTGTCACTTAGTTGTGCATCTTTCACCATGGTTGACCTGTGTAGTGGTACGAGCACCACCCCGTACACTAAGGCTCAGGAAGAGCAAGCCGCCTTCCTGCTAAAAGAGAGAAAAGAGAAAGAGGCTAAGGAGTTGATTAAGCAAGCCAAGAAGTTGGCCTTATTGGAGGAGCAGGCGGCGAAGAAGAAGAAGCTGGAGGAGGAGATGGAGAAGTTACAGAAAGAAGAAGAAGAGAAGTTAATGGCAATGGAAGAAGAAGAAGAAGAAGAAGAAGAAGAAGAAGAAGAAGAAGAAGAAGAAGAAGAAGAAGAAGAAGAAGAAGAAGTTGAGGAGGAAGTCCCCTTGAACAGAAGAGCCAGAAGGGAAAGAGGGGAATCAAATGGCACAAACAAAGAAGATCGGTGGATGGAGAAGATCTCAGAGTGGGTCGCCAATCTATCCCTGGGAGAACAGGAAAAACCGATGACGTATGTCCCCAGGGCAGAACAGGAGGCGGTGATAAGGGAGTTGGAGGCAGAGGAAATCCTCTACGCCACCAAACAATAGAAGAGGAAAAGAAGTTCGAGTGGAAGTTGTGCCTCACAAGAGAAAAGAGGCAACGGCTAGAGGCAACAAATAAGATGGATAAGGAGTTGAGGGTGGTAACTAAGCAGATAAGGGAGATGGAAGGCCAAGCGGACCTGCTGGAAAAAATGGAGATTATGGCTAGGAACATAGAACTTATGGCGAAGGCCCAGCAGGAACAATATCAGTTCGTGAGGGGCAAGGATATGGCCTTACAGTCCATACGCCTGGCCTTTAGGGAATTTGCGCGTGAAATGATGACGCATGTGGGCACTGAAATGAAGGCGAGAATAGAAAACACGGAGCGATTCTGCACAGGCGCCATAGAAGGCGCAAAGCTTGCTGCTCCAAAGGAGGAGGAAGCCCGTCCCCGTAGAGAGCCGATCAAGATAAAATTTCCTGATTCCTACACTGGGAAAAAGGAGGAGAACTTTGATAACTAGGAGGCTAACGTTAATTCATACGTTCACCTGCAGAAGATCCTACCTGAGGAACAAGTCCTCATCGCTTTCCACGCCCTCAAAGACGAAGCGTCTAGTTTCGACAAATCACTTGCTCGCGCTGCGCAATGTGACAATAATATGGTAGCTTACTCCAAGATCACCCCCCTTCCTGAACTCTTCAAGTTGCTTCGCGAAAGATTTGCAGATGCCACTCGAGGCCTTCGGGCCTCTAACAAACTGCAAACCATCCACTCCCGTCAGTGGAAGAGTGTCAAGGCACTCAAGGGAGTTATGGATGAACTTGTTGTCGTCCCTGGCCATGGGGTCACTGAGACCCAATTAGTTCAATTGTTCTTCCGTGCCATGCCCGATGCTTTGCACGGGCACTTCTTCGAGATGAGCAAACAGCCCACCATGACCTACGATACATTGACTACGGAGGTGGTGACTTTTGCGGCCTAGTCCATGCCAGCATCGACTTTCTGGCATAAAGACTTGGACAAAGGGGCAAAAGTGGAAGGGCCATACCATCTCTGGCCAAGTTAGGGCCAAGGATCACCTGATCCTCACGTTGGATGAAGGTGGTACAGAAGAGGTCCCCTATAGTCAGATAGAGTGGGGCCTAGAGGAAGAAGATAGCAACACTAGTCAGGGGAGGACTTATGTTGTTGTCGTGGTCGGAGGGAGGCCACAAGGAAGAGGGAGAGGCCGGGCCCAAAGGGGTCGGGCCAGGGGTGGTCGAGGACAGGGTGATCAGGGGGTTGGCGGTAGAGGAAACTGCCAAGAGGGAGGTAGGGGTCAAGGTCCCCCGCAAAACCGTCCTTGTTCTTATCGATCACGTCCCAGGAGGGGTGAATGGCACTCTGGCCTGCCGCAAGGCAGACCTTGGGAAGCGCTGGGCTTAGAGCAAACCGTATGGCAGAGGCGAATAGACGTAGATCAGTGCATTTTCTGCGGTGATCCGGGGCACATTATTAAGTACTGCCCCAAGTACAGAGATGTCCGGCGAGCTGCTGCAGAGGCGGCAAAAGGCAACCACCGGTAGGGGTTGCAACTGCCCTTACCCCTAGACCATGTGGAGAAGAGTGCGCACACCACAAAGAAACTCCCAAACCACATGTGTCTATGGCAGGGGTTTCTGGCCAGTGCCTAGGTAGTTGTTCAGAGACTGCTTGCGTTAGAGTCTCTCTATGCACTTCCCTCACAGGTCTGGCAGAAGAGTGGAAGGAGAGGATGCCAGTCTGGGCCAAGATGAGAAAGGATGGAAAGGGACAGCTAGTGCTAGTAGACGTAGCGGTTTTTAGAGGTAGAGTAGTGGCCCTTATAAACAGTGGGCCCCCCCAAAGCTACATTAGTTGTAAAGCGCTGCAAAAGCCAAAGTTGAATTTGAAAGTCCAAAAGTTAGAAGAACCCATAGTCAATATCCTCGCAAACAATCGCATTATGCGAATTGAGGATTACGTCGAGGGAGTCCAAGCATATTTCCGCCTACAAAAAGATGGAAAGGTAGAGAGAGTTCTCCATTCCCTGACTCTCCTCGTAGAGGACAATCTCCCATTCGATAAGGTCCTAGGAATGGATTGGGGAGAGCCCTGACTCTCCTCGTAGAGGACAATCTCCCATTCGATATGGTCCTAGGAATGGATTGGGGAGAGGCAGTAGGAGCCACACTCCATTTGAGAGAGCACGAGTGTAGGCTCCCTAGCCCATCAGGTGAAATGAAGACTTCTCGCCTGTTTCATGTGTCAGTGGTAGACAACTCCTTAGCACATTGTTGCCTCAGCGCTCCTGCATTCGCAAGGTTAGTGACGAAGGAGCAACCAGAAGAACAGGTCTTTGTAGCCTATGTTAGGCCAGTTACTGAGCCTAAACAGGAAGAACCGATTGACCCTCGCATTGCCAAGTTGCTGGAAGAGTATGCAGACTTGTCTGAGCCGCCTGCTGGAGTAGTGCAACGGCCAATCCAGCATCGCATTGAGATAAAGCCTGGCAGTAGGACTCCTAAGAGAGTTGTGTATAGAATGTCCCCAAGGGAGTTGGAGGAGTTGCGCAAGCAGTTAGATGAGCTCCTCGAGAAGGGTTGGATTAGGCTAGTTCGTCTCCGTTTGGAGCACCTATCCTGTTCATCCCCAAGAAAAAAGGAGAGTTACGAATGCGCATTGACTATAGAGGTCTTAACGCCGTCACAGTGAAGAATGCAGAACCACTGCCCCGCATAGATGATCTGTTGGATCGGGTGCAGGGTTGCAAGTATTTTACCAAGATAGACTTGAAGTCAAGCTATCATCAGATAGAGGTTCATCCTGATGATCAGTACAAGACGGCGTTCAGGACTAGATACGGGCACTACGAGTTTATAGTGATGGCCTTTGGACTAACCAACGCACCGCCCACATTTCAGCGTTGCATGAACGATTTGTTTAGGTCGTGGTTAGATAGATTTGTGATTGTGTATCTAGATGATATTCCAGTGCTTAGCAAGACCCTCCAGGAGCACAAGGCTCATCTGAGGCAGGTCTTGGAGAACTTGAGAGAAGCTAACTTCAAGATCAACGCGAAGAAATGCGAGTGGGCCGAGACGCAAGTTTTGTACTTGGGCCACGTTTAGATGGAGATGGCATAAAACCTGAGGACAGCAAGATAGCAGCGATTAGAGACTGGCCGGCTCCACACACATTGACAGAGTTGCGGTTGTTCCTAGGGTTGGCTAATTACTATAGGAAGTTTATGAGGAACTTCTCTGCAATTGTTGCCCCCCTTCGCATATTGCTAAAGAAAGAAGCGATCTGGAAGTGGGACCAAGACTGTACATCGGCCCTGAAGAAGTTGAAGCGGGCTTTGATAGAATACCCAGTCCTCAAGGTAGTCGATCCATCCTTACCCTTTGTTGTCACCACTGATGCTAATCAATATGGTATAGGTGTTATTCTACATCTACATGATGGCAACGGGTATAGACCCGTAGAGTTCATGTCCGCTAGGATGCCTTCAGAGAAGGTTGCGACATCCACTATGAGAGGGAACTCTACGCTCTCAGGCAAACCTTAGATCACTGGAAGCATTACTTGCTTGGGAGGCACTTCAAAGTCTATTCAGACCACAAGACGTTGAGGTGGCTGAAGACTCAGGCCAAGATGACACCTAAGCTAACTAGGTGGGCCGTAGAGATAGATCAATTTGACTTTGAGCTCAAGCCAGACAAAGGAAAGTACAAGTAGTTGCGGACGCTCTAAGTAGGAGACCGATTACTTTGGAGTGATAGTGCATTATCTGGACATAGAAAGAGACTTGCAACAGAGAGTCAAAGAAGCATATGCGCAGGACCCTATCTATAGCGACCTCCTCAAGAGAGTTAAGGAGTCCCCAAAGTCTTAACCAGATTACCGCAATACAAATGGGTTGTTATTCGAGAAGACTAACGTAGCCGACCGATTGTGCGTTCCCAACAGTGAGGAGATTTGAAGTCTGATCTTAGGGGAATGCCACGACAAAGAGGGACAATTTGGTTGGCAAAAGACATTAGCCAACCTTGTTCACGCATATACATGGCATGCCATGAAGGTTGACTGCATAGAGGATGTACGCAGTTGTAAACTATGCCAGAGGAATAAGACCAATACGCGAGCCCCTCTTGGTCTTCTCATACCCTTGCCTATTCCCGCAGGACCCGAAGATTCTATGTCCGTCGATTTCATGGACGTTGGGATCAAGAGTAGGCATGGCAAGAGCCAAGTCATGGTCAAAGTTGATAGGTTTAGTAAGTATGCAGTTTTTGTTCCTTTGCCTTCAGAGAAACGCACAGATTTAGTAATAGAGAATTTTTTTGATCATTGGGACAGTGAACATGGTCTACCACTGTCCATAGTTAGTGACATAGATACCAGGTTCACCAGTCAGAGCTGGCAGGAGCTGATGAGAGTCCACAGCTCTAACTTATTAATGTCATTCGACCATCATCCAGAGACTAACGGTCAGACTAAACAGATGAACAAAATCCGGCCACAAGTTCTTAAAATGTACATTAGACCCGATCAAGTCTCTGGGATGAGATGCTCCCAAAGGTAGCCAGCGTGTATAACAACAACATGCACTTCGCAACCTGTCACACTCCCAACAACCTGCATAAGTCCTTTAGACCGCGTAGACAGTTTGAGGGATTGAACCGAGATCAGATCCAGAGGCTACCGCCCGGCACTAGGGAGTGCGCGCTACAGCACGAGAAAGATATTGCTTCTGTGGTAGAGAACCTCACGAAGGCCTAGCATAAGATGATAGAACAAGCTAACAAACACCATCGCCCATCGCAGTTTCAAGTAGGCGACCTAGTCTGGCTCAAGTCCAAAGAGTTTGCTCCTGAGGAGAACATCTCACAGAAATTGTTACCTGCTTATAAAGAACCGTGGCCAGTCCTAGAAGTCAAGGGCGGAGAGGATGGACCGTACACTTCGCCCCATCAATGATTGAACCCGTGACCTGCCCCTACAGTTGTCTGTCTAAGGCTGTTGTAGATACAAGAGTTGAGTAGGTTCGAGC